GTGGCCTCTGGGTGGCCTCAGGGGGACTTCGGGGTGACCTCAGGGTGGCCTTGGGGTGACCTCGAGGGGATCTGGGGTGGCCTCGGGGTGGCCTCAGGGTGACCCCAGGGTGGCCTCAGAGTGGCCTTGGGGTGACCTCAGGGCAATCTGGAGTGGCCTTGGGGTGGCCTCACGGTGACCTCGGGGGGATCTGTGGTGGCCTCAGGGTGGCCCAGGGGTGACCTCAGGGTGGCCGGGGGGTGACCTCGGGGTGGCCTTGGGGAGATCTGGGGTGGCCTCAGGGGGATCCAGGGTGGCCTCTGGATGGCCTCAGAGGGACATTGGGGTGACCTTGGGGTGGCCTCGGAGTGACCTCGAGGGGATCTGGGGTGGCCTCAGGGTGGCCCTGGAGGGTCTTGGGGGTGTCCTGAGAGGTCCTGGGGTGGCTGTGGGGCACCCTGGGGTGGCTTTGGGTCCCTTTGGGGTCTCCATGGGGCACCTGGGGTGGCTTTGGGACATCCGTGGGACACCCTGAAGAGGACACCGCAGGGTGGCCATGGGACACCCATGGGACACCTGAGGTGGCTTTGGGACACCCATGGACATCTGGGGTGGCTTTGGGACACCCTGGGGTGGCTATGGGACACCCATGGGACACCTGAGGTGGCTTTGGGACACCCTGGGGTGGGTTTGGGACACCCATGGACACCTGGGGTGGCTTTGGGACACCCATGGGACACCTGGGGTGGCTTTGGGACACCCTGGGGTGGCTTTGGGACACCCATGGGACACCTGGGGTGGCTTTGGGACACCCATGGACACCTGGGGTGGCTTTGGGACACCCTGGGGTGGCTTTGGGACACCCATGGGACACCTGGGGTGGCTTTGGGACACCCTGGGGTGGCTTTGGGACACCCATGGACACTTTTGGGTCCCGCCCCTCCCCCAATAAAGCTGCGGCACCCCCGGCACTGAGAGTCCAGCCTGGGGGGAGGGGCGGGAGTGACCAATGAGTGACCAATGAGTGACCAATGAGTGACCAATGAGTGATCAATGAGTGACCCTGGGTGACCAATGAGTGATCAATGAGTGACCAATGAGTGATCAATGAGTGACCAGAGTGACCCCTGAGTGACCAATGAGTGACCAATGAGTGACCCTGAGTGACCTGAGTGACCCTGAGTGACCAATGAGTGACCAGTGAGTGACCAGTGAGTGACCTTGAGTGACCAGTGAGTGACCAGTGAGTGACCAGTGAGTGACCAATGAGTGACCAATGAGTGACCAGAGTGACCAGTGAGTGACCAATGAGTGACCCCTGAGTGATCAATGAGTGACCAATGAGTGACCAATGAGTGACCAATGAGTGACCACTGAGTGACCACTGAGTGACCAATGAGTGACCAATGAGTGACCAATGAGTGATCAATGAGTGACCCCGAGTGACCAGAGTGACCAATGAGTGACCAATGAGTGATCANGTGGCCTCTGGGTGGCCTCAGGGGGACTTCGGGGTGACCTCAGGGTGGCCTTGGGGTGACCTCGAGGGGATCTGGGGTGGCCTCGGGGTGGCCTCGGGGTGACCTCGGGGGGATCTGCGGTGGCCTCAGGGTGGCCCTGGGGTGACCTCAGGGTAGCCGGGGGGTGACCTCGGGGTGGCCTCAGTGACCTCAGCGGGATCCAGGTGACCTTGGGGTGGCCTCGGGGTGGCCTCAGGGGGATCTGGAGTGGCCTCAGGGTGACCTCGGGGGGAGCTGGGGTGACCTTGGGGTGGCCTCGGAGTGACCTCGAGGGGAGCTGGGGTGGCCTCAGGGTAGCCGGGGGGTGACCTCGGGGTGGCCTCAGTGACCTCAGGGGGATCCAGGTGACCTTGGGGTGGCCTCGGGGTGGCCTCGGGGTGGCCCTGGAGGGTCTTGGGGGTGTCCTGAGAGGTCTTGGGGTGGCTGTGGGGCACCCTGGGGTGGCTTTGGGTCCCTTTGGGGTCTCCATGGGGCACCTGGAGTGGCTTTGGGACATCCGTGGGACACCCTGAAGAGGACACTGCAGGGTGGCCATGGGACACCCATGGGACACCTGGGGTGGCTTTGGGACACCCTGAGGTGGCTTTGGGACACCCATGGGACACCTGGGGTGGCTATGGGACACCCATGGACATCTGGGGTGGCTTTGGGACACCCTGGACACCTGGGGTGGCTTCGGGACACCCATGGACATCTGGGGTGGCTTTGGGACACCCTGGGGTGGCTTTGGGACACCCATGGGACACCTGGGGTGGCTTTGGGACACCCATGGACATCTGGGGTGGCTTTGGGACACCCATGGACATCTGGGGTGGCTTTGGGACACCCTGGGGTGGCTTTGGGACACCCATGGACATCTGGGGTGGCTTTGGGACACCCATGGACACCTTTGGGTCCCGCCCCTCCCCCAATAAAGCTGCGGCACCCCCGGCACTGAGAGAGTCCAGCCTGGGGGGAGGGGCGGGAGTGACCAGTGAGTGACCAGTGAGTGACCAATGAGTGACCAATGAGTGACCAATGAGTGACCAGTGAGTGACCAATGAGTGACCAATGAGTGACCAGTGAGTGACCAATGAGTGACCAACGAGTGACCCTGAGTGACCAATGAGTGACCAATGAGTGACCAATGAGTGACCAGTGAGTGACCAATGAGTGACCAATGAGTGACCAATGAGTGACCAATGAGTGACCAATGAGTGACCCCGAGTGACCAATGAGTGACCAATGAGTGACCACTGAGTGACCAATGAGTGACCCTGAGTGACCAATGAGTGACCAATGAGTGACCAATGAGTGACCAATGAGTGACCAATGAGTGACCAATGGGTGACCAATGAGTGACCAATGAGTGACCCTGAGTGACCAATGAGTGACCAATGAGTGACCAGTGAGTGACCAATGAGTGACCAATGAGTGACCAATGAGTGACCAATGAGTGACCCCGAGTGACCAATGAGTGACCAGTGAGTGACCAATGAGTGACCAGTGAGTGATCAATGAGTGACCAATGAGTGACCAATGAGTGACCAATGAGTGAGTGACCCTGAGTGACCAATGAGTGATCAATGAGTGACCAATGAGTGATCAATGAGTGACCCCGAGTGACCAATGAGTGACCAATGAGTGACCTGAGTGACCAATGAGTGATCAATGAGTGACCAGTGAGTGACCAATGAGTGACCAATGAGTGACCAATGAGTGAGTGACCCTGAGTGACCAATGAGTGATCAATGAGTGACCACTGAGTGAGTGACCCTGAGTGACCATTGAGTGATCAATGAGTGACCACTGAGTGATCAATGAGTGACCAATGAGTGACCATTGAGTGACCCTGAGTGACCAATGAGTGACCAATGAGTGATCAATGAGTGATCAATGAGTGACCAATGAGTGACCCTGAGTGACCCCGGCATGGAAAGGGTTAAAAGTTCCACAAAATCCCAAATTTAATAAAATTCCAAATTAAAAAAAAATCCGAATTAATAAAAAAATTTAAATTAAAACCATGAGAAATTAATTTTAAAATTCCAAATAAATTTAAAAATTCCAAATAAATTTAAAAATTATGAATAAATTTAAAATGACAAATCAATTTAAAAATGTTAAATAAATTTTAAAATGACAAATACATTAAAAATGACAAATACATTTTAAAATGTCAAATAATTTAAATAATTACAAATTTAAAAATTATGCATAAAAAATGACAAATTTAACACCGGAGAAATTCAGAAAAGACAAATAAATTTTAAAATTCTAAATGGATTAAAAAATGACAAATAAACGTATAAATTACGAATTAAGAGCGGCAAATTTTAAAATGAGGAATACATTTTAAAATTTTAAATAAATTTTAAAATTCCAAATGAATTTTAAAATTCCAAATAAATT